GAAGTACTGTGCACACTATTAAATCAGATCATAGCTCCTTACGTGTAACAATTTACATATGTACTTTATAGACCTTTATATAGTACATATCTGAGATTTGTCTTCTAGAGGAAGTAAGTTCCATCAAGTTACACCACTAATTCTTTCATCAAATTCATGATCAAACCAGGAGTTTTAATTCATAAAAGTCTGAAGTTCTAATTGGTTTTCTCCTCGTTACAACCATTTCTTATATTGAAATGAGTCTTATGATTCTTTAAGGAGTAAAGTTAGTCATTTTCTCCTTCACTTGTTAGGAATTGCAGAGGTGGTAATTTCTGTAGATGTGGCTTATACTATAGTAATGGATTTTCCTTTATCTGTCTGGTCTAAATCTTGAGTGTTGATTCCAGGAGCTCTTCAAGGAAGATACAATCTGTAGGAACTTGCAGATTTAATTAACAAAATCTAAGAAGTCATATGAGAAAAAAGAATGAACTGCTGAAATATGCTAAAATCCGCAAACAACGCGTAAATAGCATGTTAGGGTAAATGGAGGTATAAATATCAAATTTTTATTCATAAATGGTATGGGATTGGGTTAAAATAATGTCAACCTGGTGATACTATTACTAACCATCTTCAGAAGTCTGGAAGTCTGACAAATGGCTCTAAGTATTGATCAGCTTTGAGGTAAAGTGGAAACAGAGCAGCCTGGTGCACAATGCTCCCACAATGCGCGGCAGGGGTCGGACCTCTTTGGGTCACTTTAAGCAGACTAACGTTGCATTCAAACTTGGTTTTTAATTAGGTAGCTTCTGTTTCCTTAAAATTAAATGGAGTTTGTTGATAATGGAGATTGTTTATATATTAAGATGGGGATTAAGGTTTGTAGGGACACTGAAAGGTTTTATATCTTGCCAATATATATGCTTTAGTTCCTGGTTTATAATGGAAAATGTCAAAAAGTAAATGATATAGTTGCAAGCACTTTTAGAGCTGAAAGAAAGGGTTGCTGCTCAGTGCTTGCCACATTTTTTCTTTTGACTATTATGCTAAACAGCTTCTACCCTCAGTTGGTGCGAGGATACTTACTCTAAGTTTGCTGCTTTCGTTCAAATGGTGGCCAAATTAATCACAAGACAGTTCTCTGTTAATTTTTCAGGTCTTTTCCAATTGCTTTTTGGCCTCTAGTCCGTGTAAACAGACTTAATCCACTGGAACTATTTATGATGTTATTTTGATATGCGTGATTTCAGCATGTCCTGTATGCGGCTGTAGAGAATTTATGATAGTTTGCACTTTGCTTAACTTTGGATACTTCTGAAGTATGGTAGTACCTGCAGCTATGACTTTGTAGTGACTTGTACTGTATTCTTGGACCCTCTTGTTAACTTGTTCCTTTCATTCTGAAGGCTGAGGAATATGAAATTGAGGAACGAATAAAGAAACTTGAGGATGAGATCAATGAAGCTGACAAAAGTGTCAGAAGGTCATTCATTTTTCTTTTTTTTCTTTTTAGTGTCTGCAAATTTCCAAGGAATGGTCGCACATTGTTCCTTTCTCCTGGTTATTGCCACTTCACAATTGTTTTTTTCTGAATTTTTATCAGGCTGCAGGAGGAGGAAAATGCAATATCAGAAAGCTTAGCAGCTGCAAGAAATGCTATAAGAGATATTGATAAAGAGGTTAGCCTTTAATGACCAGATTCTCTGATATGTTTTGTTATTGAATTAATCATCTTGTTTTATGCTGTATGGATTAGATATTGATAATCATGGTAATCCTAGGTTATTTGGCAACTATATTTCTACAGAATCAGATTGTTTGAGTATCTTTTACTTTTCCGTTTTACTTTTTGTAGTTAAGCCAATCTATTTTCCATCCCCCACCTTTTCTTGGTTCTCATGAAGGAAATGGGACATATCAGTTTCAAATTTTTGCTATAGTGGTTTGTTTAATTTTACGTTGAAGGCAAATCCTTGTACTGATTTGTCGACCAGTGATTTTAATTTTTAGGTGACATAGTGCAAATATCGACGCATGTAGTCCTAATCGAGTTCTTGAGCAAGGTCATTTAGGTGATGGTTTATATTACTTTTCTGTGGACAAAGTCATAGTACCACTCCTAAGTGAACAATACTTTGAAAGAACCGGTTAAAGAAGATCAAAGCTGCTAATACTGCTGGATGCTTATGCAGTTGCTTAGGCATCTAAATAGCTGCTAATACAAATGGTTGAGGAGGTTCTTATGAAGCTTAATGACAAACATCTTTATGTCAACCAATTATAGGAAAGTTCTTAAGTCACAAGCAACATCTATTAGCTATTTGTTACACACGGTGCTCTCATATAAATTGTAATAAGGATTAAATATTCAAGGTTATGGAGCTATTTTTATAATGGAAATCCAACATTAGTTTTTTCTGCAATAAATGCAGCAGCTTGGGGGATTCTGCTTTTGGCAATCAGCTTAAGCACCTTGGGAGATGCTTCTTTACAACACTGTTAAATAGTGGCTTGAAGAAATCTTAGTTCTTGCTTTACTCCTTACTCCGGAAATTATTCTGCTTTCTCTTCTTTGCCTAATTTTCTATGAATTCTTAGGATTAAACATCGTTGGAAATGGAAGCTGGAGAAATAGTGGCTTCTCTCAACTCTATGATTTTGATGGAAGCTTGTTTATTATTAACGTACATGGTAGTGTGATCAGAAAGTGGTTAGTGGTTGTAACCTCTACGAATGTGATGAACCTTTTACTTTTGATGGTCCATGATTCAGCACCATTTTCAGAACCTTGGCTTCATTAATTGCTTATTAACAAGACACATGGATTTTGTAGTCTTGCCTAGTTTTTCTAATTTTTTTCCCTTCACATATGCGTGCTTCTGGCATATCATTTCATATGAAGGCTTTGGGTGGACTTTATGCCATTTCTCTATCATCTTGTTTCAACAACTTATATGAAGTTATGATCTAAATAGCTGAAAATTCTTACGTACACTGTTTTCCCATTCTTGGTAACAAAAAAAAAATGGCATATTGTAGATTGATGAATGTGAAAGGAAGCATCGGGATCTACATTCATACAGTTGTGAGCTTCAACAACGGCAAACTAACAAGGTCCGTTGACATTCAACAAGAGACATTTTTCATTCTCATTCTCTTTTGTGGGTAATGCATAGGTTACAGCTTTCTTCTGCATGAGCCTTAATAATTGAGGTGGATGACTTTGTATGTTCATGTATGGATAAGGTTTTTCGCCATCTTATTTCAGGTCACGGCATTTGGAGGTGAAAAGGTACTCTACCTCTTACAAATTATTGAGAGACATCACCGAAAATTTAAGAGCCCACCCATTGGCCCAATTGGAGCTCACGTGGTGCGTAGAAGGAAGCTTTTCTTATCATCCTTATATACTGTTTCATCCTATTATTTATAAAAGGATCTAGAGTGACACTGTAGTACCTAAATTGTTTTGTTGCCCTTTCGCACCACTAGATCATTTTCTGCATAGTTCATGGTATGGATGGAACATAATCAAGGGAAAAAAATTATGAGTTTATAATTGGAAATAGGAAAATTGAACACAAACAAATTCCAAAAAACTTCTCACCAATCTTTAACCACTTATCAAATTAGAAGTATCCTCAAAACCTTAAAACTCAAATAACTTAAATTGCTTACAATTTTTAGGAGATTCGAAGATTATCCACACTGTTGTGGCCTCTTCAGGACATATGGAAATGTGGAATCATGAGAAACTCGACAAAGTTTTAAAGACTAACAAAGCTGTTTCTGGAGCGTGATTGTAGTCGTTGCGGCCTCAAGATAACCCACAGAACGTCTTCATCGATGCTGGAGCAGAGTTGTCCCTAGAGCAATTAAGGAAGTCAGAGCGACACAGGAATGAGAGGTTTTTGGGTTTGGAGAGAGAAGGTAGATAAGAGAGAAAAGCGAGGACAGAAAATGTGGAGCCCTTGAAGAATGTTAAGTGGGATGTCCAGTATTGGGCAGTAGGCATTGAATTTGAAATCGAGGCAAGTTTGGGAGCACTTCTCCTTTGGACATGAGTGGGAAGATCCCACCACTGTGTTCCATAGTAGACGCATGCGCATGTTTAGGACTGTGTTAACATGGATATAGAACCTAATCTGGCATGCATCTGCTTTGTAGGATATGTTTAATTGTCTTATACTCATTGATAGTGCAGGCATGTATATAAATCCAGATATCAATTAGGTGCAAAAGCTTACATCCAATTTGCTATAAATGAGTGCAGGAATGGATCAAATTAAGAAAAGCCATATTTGTTTAAGGTAAATACATCTAATGGAAGATCAACCTGATATAATACACGAATCACATATATAATTGTAACATGATGTATGTTTTGATGAACCCAGTGTTTGGATGTTACATATGCTTAAGTTGGTATTCGTACAATAATGTTAATATACAATTGTTTGTTGTCTATAGTGTGAAAAAATGCAGATTTGGACATGACTTTGCTTCTTCTGCATATTTCAAGATTTGGACATATTTTACAATTATTCCTAGATTACCAGGGAAAGATGGATCTAGAAACGAGCTTAGATTGTATTCTATCCAATTCCTTCAGAGATTGTTGTAGCTACTTTGTTCTAGATGTTTTTCCTAGATCACAAATTGTGTCGGACTTTGTGCTGGGGTAATGACATTATGTTTATTATTTTTCTTGTCCAATATGTTTTGTACTGAGTGTAAATGAAGTGAGTTGCTGGCTGTAGTAACTATTTCAATGCTTGTATGTTTTGGAGAAACTTCTTGTTCGTTTCATTCGATTGAACTTGCTGTGATGAATTCTGTTATAAATACTTGTTTTGTTAATATTCCTAGACTCGCATTAGGAGCATTACAAAGTGAGTTTCATCTGCAATGAAAATGTTTGAAATGTTTCTGATGTTAATACAAGCCAAACTTGTTCCCGTCTTTTCTCTTGTTATGTCCTTGTTTTTTAATTGCTTGAATGAAAAATTCCTATTCTTCCATGAGCTCCTAAAGGAGTGTAATTGTTCTGTGACGCAGACACTGGTCAACGGCGACAGCTGGGCACTAGCAGTTGATTGCGCTATTGGAAGATTGTTAGATGCCTTTATCGTTACTAATCATAAAGATTCTCTTGCTTTACGAGCTTGTGCAAGAGAAGCACGTTACCAGAATCTTCAAATCATTATTTATGATTTTTCAATGCCACGGTCTGAATTTTCCCCACATATTACTTTTTTACTATAGGGTTGAACATCCTTTTCTTGTAGCGCAGTATATTATCTCTACTTTGAGATCAATAAATTTTCTCAGTAATATCATTTCTAATCTTGCAGGTTGAGTATTCCTAGTCATGATTTACCATCGACTAATCATCCAACAACTCTTTCTGTTATACATACTGAGAACCCTACTGTCATGAATGTTTTGGTCGATATGGTTAGTCTCCTTATGATTTGATATAATACCTATATTGTTGAAGACTTTGAAAGGGCACAAAAAAGTTTTCATGTAATTGCTTGGTTAGTTTGACTTGTCTATCATTTGAAAAAGAACAACCACCACATATGTGTTTCTTTAAGATTATGTTGTCTTGAGACGGAAGCTTAATGTCTAGCATCTCCCTTGTTTCCTTGTCAGCAAGGATAACCTGTTATCAGGGTCATGATCATCATCATTGCTTGTTTATATCAAACCAGGCAAGATTATAGAGAACAACTCAAAATTGAAAATTCTCCTCAAACAAATAAGTATTGTGACTGGGTCTCAAACCTTGATTCATGCCAAGTATTTTGGTGTCAACTTCGTAAAACTATGATAATCAGAGGGCCATATGCTGTTGAATATTAACTGCTAGTTTGTGGCGGGTTCCCAATTTTTCTAATGGTGGTTAAGTTTAGGATTGTATCATCTGAATAAACAAGAATTCTTGAGTTTACACAGCATCAAAAGCAGTTTATGGGAGGTTTGAAGAGTGTATGGAGAGTTTTGAAGTTGTTGCATTTGAGACAATTACGATTAAAGTATGATGAAAATTCCATTACATATCGTAATAAAACATTTGATATTTTTGAAGGAATAAAATCATTAAATGTGTTTATTTAATCCATGTTTTACTCAATATCTCAACTTCATTCTACTTCATCATTAATTATTAACAATCTTCTTTACCTATTTTTTATTGTCGTCTTAAGTTGGGTAGAAAACATCTTGTTATTTAAAATCTTCTTTAAATATTATTCTTTACTTTGTAATTATTATATATTTGATAGGAAAACATATTGTTGTAAAAGAGGACAAGTGACAAATAAAAAATAACTGTAACTGCAGCTGCACGCTTCAAAGTTTTAAATTTGAAACAAAGATATTTAACTTCAACTACTGAACCACGTGCAACAATGGCTGCAACTACAGTTGCATGCGAGGTATTTTTATTACAAATATAGTTACATAGAACCAAACACCTCCTAGATCTATATTTTTGAGCATGGAGACTTTCTGTCTAATACATTTCATGCATTCTAAACACTTAAAAGCCTGCACAGAACAAATTTTTTGTTAGGTTCTAACCAACTTACTATGTCATTCATTTTTGCATTTGTTAGTCCATGGGTAAAAGAACTTTTAAAAAGAGGTTTTTTGTACTCTAAATGGTTTAGTTTATGAGAGGATCTTGCATATGAATTGTTATACATTGATTTTGACAGGAAGATATGGGTTTAATTCCTTGTAGAAGTAGCCAAGTCTCTCTGTATGTGTGTAATTTGTGTATATGTATGTATCTATTGCCAGATACTATACACGCGCGCATGCGCACACCCCTTAATACATAAATGCATACACATTGTATATGCATACTTAAAATACACACACATATACATTTGTAATGGAGAACACTGTAACTTATTACTGAGAAGGGATGGTTTACCATATGATGAATGTTAATTTCAGAAAATCCTAAGATGTGTATGTGTGTATCATCTATATGTTCCTCCATGTATGTCTTATTCATTGTTTTTTCCTTTCCTGTAGGGTAATGCGGAGAGACAAGTTCTTGTCAAAGACTATGAAATGGGCAAAGCTGTTGCCTTTGAACAAAGAATTCGAAACTTGAAGGAGGTTTACACCTCTGATGGATATAGAATGTAAGATATTACTGTTGATATGTGCAAATCTCATTTCTTTAGACATTCTTTTTTTATCTGTTCATTTAAACTGATAAATGTTGTTGTTATACAGAACTTCACTAAGGGGATTTTAATGCATATGCACATAAGGGAACTTTTATGCAAATACTTTCTGTGCTTTTCTTTTTTTTACTTTTATGTTTTCATCTTATTTTTTATAAATGAATAGCGTCATTGTCTCATTGAAGTGTTGTATCAAATCATTTGCTGCTAGTGGGAAAATGTTCTTTTCATGTCTGCCTCTGAAGATCTGTGTTATCTCTGTGAGAGAAGATTTCATGCTCCAGCGAAGGGGAGTCTTAGGTATTGGACTTCAATGCGTAGAAAAGATTTTCAGATCTTCTACTTAATAGGTCAAAATTATGATCTTCTATTTCTATTTCTTTTTTGTTGTTCCTGCCCCTCATCGTACAGATACACAAATATAAGTGAAAGTAATCACATGTATCTTCCTGATTTTGTACACCTTTATAGGATCATATTGAGTGGACTGCAGCACGTCTTCTGACTTGTACCACCCCCCACACCCATCCACCCACCCCGCTCCCTCCCCTCCTTCCCACCCTCTCCACCTGTACCCCTTTAACACTGTTGATCACTATGGTCCAACAAATAGTAAGTTCACCCTAAAATTTTACACTTTTCTTTTCTCCGTCTATTACTTATTTTCTATTAAGATGCTTTGTTAGTAGGAAATTGCCTGCATAATGTACGAATTGTCAGGATAAATTTTGACTATTTAAATGCACTGGATGTCTACACCTCTGTTTAGTGGTTGGCCTATCCAAATTTTTTTGCTTCTTCTAGCCACTTTTAAGACATTGAAAGTAATCTGTGACAAGGGGTGGGATAGGGTGTGTCCAGCCTCCAGAGTTAGAAATTTGAATTAGAAGTCTAGAAGTGAAACTCTAATGGTTTGTGGGAATGAGTGGCAATAAATTGCTCATCTGCACTTCCCATTCATGCATACCAAACTTGTCATCATTTTGGAAGCTAGAATGCACATTCTCACTTCTCATTCATTCCCACAATTTCTGGGAATGAGCATTCCCAATGAGTTGTTAGGGAATGTGCATTCCCACTTTAAGCGATAATGAAAAAAATTAAAATAGATTCCTAATATTCCCAAATAATTTAGTAATTATTACTAGCAAAAATAAAAAGATTTTCATTCCCACTTCATTCTCTAATCACACCCAAACGTGAGAATGGAATGAGCATTCCATTCCCACACTCATTTCCTTCTATTCCTTGCTCCATTCCATTCTCACTTGATCTGATTCCCACGTACCAAACAAGATGCAAGAGGCAGCATATCCACTACTTTTTTATCACTCTGAATTAATTTGCATTAGAAGAAAAGCTTCAGTGCCTCAAAGGTCATTTTTGGTAGTTTGATCAATTAGTCACAGTAAACTTTATTTTCAAAACGGATATTGTGATAATCAGAAAGTGTGCCCTTTTATCAATATATTCATTCGCTTGCATAGTGGTGGGGACCAATTTTGTGATTCTTTCACTCAGTTAGTCCCACATCAGAAAATTGATAGAGGTTGGGAGGCTTTAAATGATGGGTCTTGAGAGTCAAGTCCAACATTGGCTAGCCAATTTAGGCGGTGGTATGAGCTTAAATGATGGGTCTTGAGAGTCAAGTCCAACATTGGCTAGCCAATTTAGGCGGTGGTATGAGCCAAACATGTTGCACTCAGTGGGCCTCACGATTTACATTGCCCTAATGAGCTTGTAGGCCTGAGGCGTGACAATTAGTATCAGAGCAGTTAGCAAGTTGGAACTGTGGAACTTAGTGCTATGTGGGATTGCGTGCTACATCCGGAGAGTGTAGTGGAAGCCACGTCTAGATTTCACATCAGGTGGTGATCTTGTAATAGCCTTTGTAGTGTTGCGACGAGGACGTCGCCCATTAAGATGGGGTGATTGTGATGTCCCCACTAATTTAGTCCCACATTAGAAAATTGATAAGAGTTTGAGCGAATTTAAATGATGGGTTTTGGGAGTAAAGTGTAACATTAGCTAGCCAATTTTGACTGTTATTTGAGCCAAACAACATGCTGCGCTCAGTGGGTTCTTTCATTGCTCCAACGTGCTCGTGGGACCGAGGTGTGAAAAGTTCCACAAGGGCATAGAATTTTCTCCTCATGGCAATAACAATTCGATTTCTAGAATTTAAATTTCTAGAAATTTAAATGTGTTGCATATACAAGGCAGCGCCTTAGCAAATAGCAACAAGATAATGAATTGGCTTCATGGAAGTTGTCATCAGTAATAGTCTATGTCATACTAGTCATTTTAACCTAACCATGACCTAATATAAATCATTGGCCATGAAATCTACATATTTTTTGTTTGGTAAATATGCATGTAATCTTTTTCAAATTGAGCTAACAGATTCCTGTCTTTCATGGTCTTCCAGGTTTTGTCGTGGCTCTGTGCAAACGACTCTTCCTCCAAATAAGAGGGCGAGGGCTGGCCGCTTATGTGGCTCAATAGATGATCAAATTTCTGATATTAGGAAGGAAATCTACAAGGTACAAGAATTTATTCAAGAAGGTAGAGGGAGGAAACGAGATGCTCAGGAAGCACTTCAAAATCTTGAAGGCAGAGCACAGAGTCTCAAGGTAAGGATCTATAATAACATTTTAACATCTTTCCATTGTCTTATGCTATTACTTTTTCATGCCAGAGGCAAAGAATACATGAAGAAAGGCCTATGATGTCGAAGAAACTTGCTTTAAGGGATATGCAGAATGCTTATGCCGCTGAAAGACACATTGATCAGACAGCTAATGTTGAGGAGCTTTATGAAGAAATCTCGGTCTGTTCTTATGAATCTCATTTCTTGAACTGCTCATATTAAAAGTTGCAACGTTTCCTCTCTCTTTTATGAGTTATTTTGTTATTATTCTTCTTCTTCCAGCAAATACAAGATGATATACAAGGGAAGGAATTGTTACTTGAGAAAATACATGTTAGGAAAACCTTGGCAGAAGAGAAAGCCAATGATCTAAAGAAGTCTTTTGAGAGCTTATGTGGTAAGAAATATTTCCTTCGAAGATATTATTGCTTCGTTTTAAAATCAGTTATCAACAAATGTACACAACGTTCAAAGTGTTTCACTGCATGCATGCATGATTTGCATTCCCTTACCCATCCATCTGGTGAACTGTTTGCTATTGTGCACGCATACATGATTGTACTCTTGAAAATTTTATATTTGGATCCTAAAACTCAGATTGAAAGAAAAATTAATTCTAACGGATGAAAAGTTGAAGTCTGAAGTGAAAAAATATGTATCAGGGAAATTTTTTTTGCACTTGTTTCAATTTGTTCATTTGGGTTTTGACAGTCATCTGTAAATTTCAAATTCATATACTGCCCCTTGGGTTTTCCACGATCATTAATCCAAATATCCAAACATTTCCATCATATAGTTGCCTGGATCAGTGTTCTGCCACATTGCGCCCCAAGATAATCTTCAACTGCCTACAATAGAAGAAAAGCTGAACTTAAAAGAAAAGAAACAAACGCAAAGCTTGAACATCCTCGGGCACGTGACGTACAATTATCCACTTGAAAATGAATTTAAAGGTGGTTCTCATGTTGGATAACATGCCCAAGCACATACGTTATGGCAAGGAAACAACTCATGTTGGAAAATCTTGACCAAAATAATTGAGAAAATATTTAATATAATTCTTATGTTGGATACTGTATTTAACTAAAGGACATTATCATTTTTTTTTAAATGGCTGGTTTTTGTGTGAACCCCACTGAAAATTTGAAATTAGATATGAAATGGTTCTAATACTTTCATCCTATGCTTTCATCCTGTGTAGCATGGATACGGGTACGGGTATGAGTATGGATACGGTTACGGTTACGGTTACGGGACACGGAAAATTTGTAAAGGTAGGCTACAGGGACATGGCTATATAAATATTTATATTCACACACACACATATATATATATATTAATATTGGAATTAATAATTTACATGAAATCAATATTGTTGTTCATTCATGTGTCGCGAGAATTAATATTCTTATAAGATTTTTATGTTTCTTTTATTATGTGGATTATAAATTGGAAGACCACTTATTTTTCAACTAGACACCCAAGTGACCATTTAAAATCATGAGTTCAGATTCCGGCTTATGTCCAATGAGTTTTAGGAAGTGGATGTGGATTTTAGGATATATGTTCAAGAAGTGTATGATTAAGTGTTTTAAATTAAAACATGTATTGTATAATTGAGTACATGCCCAGATAAATGTATGCATATTTTCTAGGAGTGTCCTCAGAGTTTGGATACGGATATGAGTACAGGTATGTGTCGGGTAATGGTACGGCTTTACATAGAAGTACCCAGGTAAAGTAGCTTTCAGCTAAAGAATCACATTATGAAAGGAAGCCTACTCATAGGCTAAATGCAGATGTAGAACTGTAGCTAGATCTCATGGTCAAATTCCTAGCTGGTGGCTAGTTAATCTTAAACCCACCTAGAAAATAGTACTTGCGTCCTGGTTAATATGTTGTTTTTCTTATTTGAATACCTTAGTAGAAGATGGGTTTTTGATGGTTGTGTGATTGAAAACTAATGTGTCTCATTTGACTTCTTTGCACATATATGGACATGTATATGATTGATCATGGCCATCGCTTCTTAAATATGTACTGGGTGAAGCTCTGCATCATCAACAGACAGCTTTCTGGTAGTGTATGCCTGTCTACTTAATGCTCTTTGATGAAATGCAGATTCGGCAAAAGGAGAAATTGATGCCATTGAAGGAGCAGAGCATGAGTTGTTAGTGACTGAAGAAGAACTCCGTGCCGCAGAAGCAGTAAGTTTATCAAATTATGCTATCTACTTCACGCTCTTGATGCTTAAGATCTTACCTATTTTCTACCTAATTTCATTTTTCCTTATGCAGGAGAGGGTCCATTATGAAGGTGTAATGAATAATAAGGTTCTGCCTGACATTAAAGCAGCAGAGGAACATTACGAGGAACTACATCGTAACCGTCAGGTTAGTCGCTCTTTATATGCTTATTTGAAACCCTGTTGATCTAGGCACTATAGCCTGCATCACACACCTTTTTACTTGCCTTGCTTGACCTGAGCTGGACATTTAATATTTCAAAAGATGTACTAAACAGGATAGAGTTTTAAGTTTTAACACTTCTCTAGACATTGGATTGTTCAGAGATTCATGTAGATGCACTTAAGCTGTGTTGACTTTCAAGTGAGTTAAATTCAACCTTAAAAGTAATGTACATGAATGTAGAAAGCACATCAAAGACCATGTAATGTTATTTTGGGGGGAAAAAATCTCATCATGAATCCTGAAGAAAGTGTTCCTTCACTTCTATAAGCTTGACCTTAGTTTAAGTTTTCTATAGTATGTTAGCTCTGCTTTTTCTTGTCTATTTTGTCTTTAATTCAACACCTGTTTCTGTTATCTAGAAGCCTATTTTATTGATGCCTATAGAATGATGCTCCGGATGTTATAGGTCTTTTAAATAGTTATGTTGTTAGATGTGTTGTACTACTTGCAGGAGATATGTAAATACTTCGAACTATAATTTAGTAATCTAGGAAATTTCATTGGTCTAGTCTCTAGTTTGGTTTTTTTTCCCTTCTTTTTTTTGCTGTTCATATTTTGTTATTAAAGCATTCAGCATTTTGACTGAAAAACTAAAGTTCATCTACTTCTGATTGATCTTTAAGCTGGATTATCCAAAACAAGACATACACTTTGGAGTTGGGTAGTTTTGTACAAGGTATATATGGTCTATTGTCCCAAGTTCTTGGGCTTCTACAGCAGATTTTCGACCCAGTCAGATTAGATGAATTTTAGGAGCAAGTGAACTGTGAAGCCTGCAGTGGTGGATCTAGGATTTTCAGAAAGTTGTGTCGCTATATAATTAATAATTAGAAAACTTATAATTGTCCTTGATGGGGTTTCATATTTTGAAAAAAGTACGTAACCGCATCATTAGTAACGCTATCAAATACATCTTTCTTGATATATGCAAGTAAGCAATTGTTGAGCCAATCGTTACTCATTTTATTTTGCAACCTGTTTTTTATCAACTTCATTGCAGAAAAAACTCTTTCCACGGTTCCCGTAGTCGAGAGTAAAATCAGTGCCATCTTCAAAAGCAAATAAACCAAAGGATAGACATGCTTTTTAGTCTCCACCATTTTTTTGAAAGATCACCTATTCCCTTCAGATTAGTAAACCTTTTCTCTCTATGCACATAAACAATATAATTGTCAAGTTAATTCTTAAGTGCCAAGATCTCAAAATCGGAGAATTCACATGGATAGAATTCAGATATTTAAACAACTCCTCCACATTAAAAGAACTAAATGAATTATTGAGGCTCAAGCAAGCAATACAAAGAAGCAACTTAGTGCTCTTCTCATTAGAACGGCCATTAAGCCCTTGAATTTGCATATCCATCACCGAATAGAATAGGTAAACTTGATAATGGTGTAGATTGGTGCCTTGTGAAGCTTTGCGTGGTCTTCCTTTATCACAAGCATCTTCCATATTTGGAATAAGAATCTCATGTTTGTTACAAAATACATGAACTTCATTCAAGAGAGTGGCCCATCCTTCATCTCTCATTTGTTGTAATATTTGCTTTGCTACTTCAACAAGTACCATGTCATTTACGATGCCTTGATCTTTCCTTTGCAAAGCCAAATTCAACTCATTCGTGATCCCCAATGTTTTGAACATTAAATGTAAGCAAAAAATCAAAATCAAATGTCTCTAATAATTCCTAGAGACGATGTGCTTCACACCTCTCTAATGTTGATATTGATTTGTACCATGTTCTTCAACATCTTCAAGTACATAAACAATTGAAGAGAACATAGCCATCAAATTCAATAGCATCCCATAATGAGATCCCCAACGAGTATCAACTGGCCTTTTAAGAGCTATTTCTTGATTCAACCCTCGCCCACTTTCAAGCTCTTCATTTTGTAATTTAGCAATTTGCTCTGCTTGCTTTTCTCTAGTTTTATTTTTTACGTTTACAAGAACCTCCAACCACATTCAACAAACGAGCAAACACGTCAAAGAAATCATTAATTCAAAATGGTTCTTTGCAACAATGAGTGTTAGTTTGCAATTGATGAGCAAAACAATGAACACAATATGCAGATTTGCTCTATTTCGTGATCAAAGCCATCAAACCATTAAACTTCCATTGCATATAACTCGCCCCATCATAACCTTATTCACGCATTCTTGATGAACTCAATTAATGTTTTGCAAGCAAAGTATCGAGTGCAATTCCAAGCGACACAGCTGAAGTATCTGTCACATGAACAATCCCAATAACTCACTCCATGACAAATCCTCTTTCATCAACATAACGCAAAGTCACTGCCATTTGCTTTTTGTGTGACACGTTAGCAGATTCATCCACTAAAATACCAAAGAAGTCATCACCTATTTCTGCAATTATGGCCTTGCAAGTTTCTTTTGCAGCAGCATATACAATATCTTTTTGAATAGAATGAGCAACCATTTGATGATTTTCAGGAGCATTAGACAAGACAACACCACTCACTTTCTCATTGTGAGCCGCATAAAACTTCAAAAGTTCAAGAAAATTTCCCCTAGTGCTTAAGCCTTCATATTCATTATGACCACGAAATGATAACTCTTACCTTAGCAAGAATCTCACACAATCAGTAGATGCCTCCAGATGAACTCTATACTCACTCTTCGCTTCCTCCGTTTGCCTATCAAAAGCGTATTGGATAGATTGAGGCTGCTTAATCAAATATTGACACTTTTGAACGGCTACATTGTGTGCACTACCACATTTTCCAACATTAGCTTCTAATCGTGCTTTCTTGTTCCAACCCCTAAATCTTCCATGAACAAAAGAATTTACTCCACATTGACTTGCAATTTAAGATTTAAATAAATAACAACATAAGCAAAAAGCAACTTCTTCTTTTACACTATACTCCAACCAATATGGAAATTCATGTAACCAATCCACATTGAACTGGCACATCTTTTCCCCAAATTTAGTTCGTTGGAAATTATGAGTACGAGGTTTATAATGGCCTTTTTGAAGATGCACTCCTTACTATATCATGATCATTTGGATGATAGTTTTCGATTGTTGATCGCTCTCCAGGATCAACCGGAAGAGCATTCAACTTAACTCTTCTTGAGGATTTTATGACATCGATATTAGGATTAGAACCATCAATCGCACTAGATATATTTCCTCAAGGGCGTGAAGGCTCTTGTACAGGTTGAGATGATGAAGGTCTACACTCGATTGCTCTTTTAAAATAGCGCCTCATATCAAAACTCATATCGAAACTGATAATAAGTAAATTAGATTATAATTAGATACCACAAACATTAAAAATTTAATTTGATGATTCTCTTACAAATAAATAAAAGCAAAAGAAGATCAAGCTTATGCAATAAACATAACCCAAAATTACTTAAATTAATGTCAAAATGTGATTCCTTGAGTGAAGCTCAAGAGAAAACCCTGGACTGCAATCTCAAATGATTGTGAAGATTGAGGAGAAAATCAAACTTGTACCAAATCAAATATTGTAAATTTAAAACTTCTAAGAAAACCCTAAATTCCACATATAAAATTATATTACAGAAAGTAAGAAATTAGAAAAAGAATCAATAACTTACTTTATGGGCCAAAGGAGGGTGCGTCGTGCATGAGGAGAAGGGAAGGAGAGCCGGGTCTTGAGGAGGCGGAGGACGAAGAGGTTGTCAGAGGCCTTGGGATCAGGCAGTCAGCGAATGAGAAAGAGGAGCCGAGAAGGCGGAGCCATGGGGACTAAAGGAGTAGGAGGAAGAAGAGAAGGGGAGATAGGTCCAGCGGAGCTCTTGAGGTCCTCTGGCGACGGCGAATCAGAGAAGGCAGAGATGAGGGTTAGGGCCGAAAGTTAATGTTTTTTTAATGGGAAAAATTACAGTGGGTTTTTCTTTTTACTGGGATTGGGTAAGAAAATAAGTGGGGGCGAATCTTATACATCCCATATCAAACTGGTGTCACGTGACACCAGTTTGATATAGATGGGTCCACCCTTGGAAGCCTAGGTTCGGGTTAAGCTGAATAAGTTTCAGTCAATCCAACTAGTGAAACTTAACTGATCACAGTCTTTTAGGTATTACAAGTGAAACATTTTTCATTTCTGGTTCTCAAGCTTGTGGCTTTTTCATCTGATCTCAAAGTGTTATCTAATGATCTACACGCATCTAGTTCTATAACATGAATTAAGCAATTATACAGACATAACAAGTAAAATCAGGTGCCAAGTCCTAATTTGCAGTCTTGCGGATAAAATATGTTTAAATCAATTAGAAATTGTTCTTAGCAAGGAATATTATGGTCCCAAACCTCTGTTCAAGGGTTGTATTACAACCAATGACAATAATATCAGTTTATAAAATTGAACGGAAAAAGTTAGGTTCCATTGACTTTGTTGAAACCTTAGTTCTTTAATATTCACCCATAATTCAGGAGAAAAGACATTATCTTTTATTCTTTGATTTCATTTGGTTTGGTTGTTAATAGCAATTTTTGGATAATTATATTCGATTATTTGAATCCATATAATAACTATTTCATATATAAGTGCAGGAGAACTTTGATAAGGCTTCAATTATCTGTCCTGAGTGCGAGGTGGAGGCTTTAGGGGGTTGTGCTAGTAATACTCCAGAGCATTTTAGTGCCAAGATAAACAGATTGAAACAGAGGCTTCAGCGTGAAAACATGAGGTTGGTCACAGCTGAACGATATTGCTGATTGGAGGGTACATTTATAGTAGTTAACTTTATTTGAATTTTCTTTCCAGATATGACGAATCCATTGACGATCTCAGAGTCATGTATGAGAAAAAGGAGCGTAAAATTTTAAAAAGACAACAAATGTATTCAGCTTTCCGTAACAAGTTAATTGTAAGTTCCTAGCTCCTCAATGGTAAGACTAGCATCTTAGGGCTTTGATGATGAGCTTAACCTTACTTTTTAATGCTAGCAATTACTTGTTGTATAGATATTGAGCCTGTGCATTTTGACTCTTTTTGGATGATATTCTATTTCATTTTCAACCTTAATGAAATGACAATCTGGCTAGATCTATCTTGTTCATCCAATTGTCTGGAAAAACAAAAATAATTAGGAAGCTCTTCACTGCATAATGCACAAACTTTTATAGCCTATGTCGTGTCTTCCTTTTTGATTCTTGGTCTTTTGCATCTTAGTTCTTTTTTCTTTTTCTTTTTTCCCCATGCTTGCTGCAGGCATGCCAGGAGGCACTTGATTTGCGGTGGAGCAAGTTTCAGAGGAATGCTTCTCTTTTAAAGCGGCAATTAACTTGGCAGTATGTGCACCTTGCTTCACTTGTGTATTCCATGACCAAATTCTTCAAGAAACTATTTGCTGCTCCACTTAATTCCTCTTCTTTCTTATTGGGCGTGGGCAAAATGTGAGTGGATGTGCATAGGGTTTTTCTTGCTGGTGGGTCGGTTGTCTGTGTTGGGTTCTCTCTCGTGTGGGTGGGTGGGGGACAGGGCTTGCATAAGAGATTTGTTGTGGATTGTTTATGATTTGTCTAGAGCTATTCTTTACTTCCTTTCCATTTGCATTTTAGATTCCTGTAACATTTTCTACAATATTCAAGATTTATTGCATTACCAGGTTTAATGGACACTTGAAGAAGAAAGGTATGAGCGGCCACATTAAGGTGGATTATGAAAAGATGGTCCTCTCTATAGAGGTGAGCTACCTCTTGCATGTTTGGATTTTTATGGAGGATAATTTCCGGCTTCGAATTAATGTTGTGCACCACGTTAGTGCTCATATTTGTTTATGGGTAAACTAAAATTTCCACTCTTTTCCTGATGCGCTGTGAATTTATGATTCCTTTCCTTGTTACAGGTAAAGATGCCTCAAGATGCTTCTGGAAACACTGTTCGAGATACAAGAGGCCTTTCAGGTTACTAATCTGCCTCCTGTTTGTGCATCACTTATCTCCATTGGTTTTCTCTGCTGCTTTTATCTTCACTATTTGGTCCATGTTACTTATAGTGGCCATAGATTTTCTTTGTGTAGGAAGCCTTATATTAGGGTTTTTTTTGTTAATCAGGTGGAGAGCGCTCTTTTTCCACCCTTTGCTTTGCATTGGCTCTTCATGAAATGACAGAGGCACCTTTCCGAGCAATGGATGAGTTTGATGTTTTCATGGTTAGTAGTCTGAGGTTAATTGTGTTAGTTTCTGATGTCATTTGTATACTAAACCACAGGCTTTTCATCATCTCCCCCACAGGATGCAGTGAGCCGAAAGATTAGCTTAGATACACTTATTGATTTTGCAGTGGAACAAGGGTCTCAGTGGATATTTATCACTCCCCATGACATTAGGTAACAAATCATGAAACACTGCTTTTTTTCCCCTTCATTCTCCATGGTGATGGATTGGTTTTCTCTTCTTATTTCGTTATATTTTGGTTATTGTATTTCAGCATGGTGAAGGCTGGGCAGAAGGTCCGGAAGCAGCAGATGGCGGCACCCCGTTCATAATTAACAGGAGATTAATTTGTACTGTATAGTATTTATATGTGAGTCGGGGGCTTTATTATTTTGGGTGAAAGTGGGAAAACCCGCTTCTTCATTGAGGAAATTCCTCCTGTATTTATAAGGGTCCCCTTGTTGGCTTACAGTTTTGAGATTGGACCAAGCCTTGTAAATCAACTGGAGCAAACACTTTTTGGTTCACCTGTGTAACGCTATTTTTCTGCAGCTAATCGGTGAAATGTAATTGTAAGCCTCAGACACGCTATCTGTCTACTTGTATTGAATTATCAGCAAGGAGGGTCCTGGATTAGGTAGAATAAATAGCGATCAACGTTCATAATAAATCGGGTTGGATCCTCAATTCGTACTAATATTTACCTTGATGGGAATACTACCTCGCACTGCTTCTCCCTGCCTGCGGAAACGCAAATGTGAAGATAATAGAAATCTGGACTAGCTGCCATAATGTCACCAGTGCTTTATCAGTAGGAATGCATTTAGCTCACCTCTTGTTGGTCGCGGTGCGAGCAAACAGAAGTTTCATCTATGATGGACTAATTGACCTGATGAATTTTGGTTTCCTCTGCATGTACTCCTGTAATTTTCTACAAGTGCAATGTGATACTACGTATAGCTTCTCTTTTTCGAGCAAATAGGCCTGCAAGTTTGTTAAGTGTACTGCAATTTATACACATATCACGGTATTCTGTATGGATGAAAGAAATAACTTATATGCATTAGATACCCTAATAGGAGGATGTAAATCCAATTTAGCCAATAAAATTCTTGGTGTTAATGTTTACTCAGATTATTCTGTTGCTCTTTATGACCCTCACATATGTGACGTGGCAAAATTAAGCATTAATCTCAAAGAAAGTGAGATGAAACCGCATGGCTTCTCTTTTTTGAGCAAATTCGCCTGCAATTTTGTGAAGTGTACCGCAATACTACGCACAATTTCTTCTTTTTGAGCAAACAGGTGAGTGAGAATTTTCATGTTTCATTACTTACCAAAACAATACAAAACATGGATGCATATAGCTCCACATCCAAAAGTAGTCACGAGCGGCACGAGGGAACGCAACAGAATGACCCGATGAGATGATCTTAGTAATCAGCAAACAAAGCTCCATGGCTCCTATCAATTAGATACTAATCTTTAGTCGAAATCAATATCCGTCTCCGGACTCTCATTTCTCCCTTGATCTTCTGGAGTTGAATCATCGCCGTGGCAGCAGCTAGATGTCAAATTATTGAAAGACAATTTTAGCGTGCATATGCATTTGATATCTACCCTAAGTTTTCATATTGCCTAACGTCTGGTTTAATTCATCAGAGATCATAATTTAATTTTTTAAGTAATTCGTTTTGTGGTGTGGTTGGCTGTCATGTCAGTCTAACACACCAAAGGTCTTCCGTTCAAATCTGGGTAATGCCTTTTTTTTCATACCAGTATAATGCACGTGCTTTGCACATGAACGTATATGTTTTAAATTTTAAAATTTTAACTGAATAGTAAAACTATGTGTTAATAAATAAAATTGTATAATAAGATTGCTTAAAAAGAAATGTATGAATTAAATATTATTGTGTAGTTATTGTAATTGAATGTTTTTCTTAAATGTTCGCCTAGCATTAATCTTTTTTTTAAATAAGCCCCCAAATCTAAAATTGTTCTTAAATAAAAATATAAATTCTATAAGTTTTCTTAAATAGGCCCCTCAAACTTGAAAGTTGCTAACTTAACTCTAAATTAACTAAACTGTATTAATCTTGCTAGCTTTTTCCTGATGTTAACTAGATAGTTACACTTAATACCTGCAACATATCGCGATAGTTACTTCTCATTATAATTATTTAATAGGGTAAATTACACTAAAGTCTAATGAACTTTTAGCCCATATGATTTTTTAAAATTACACTAAACCCTTAATGACTTTTTTGTTTCAAAGAAGACCCCCAATAATTTTTTGAATTTAGACATAACCCTAATAAATTAGAATTAGAAAATGGCATAAAAAAGCATTCTGAAAGTTATTGAGGGTTTGATGTAATTTATCTAAAAGATGTTGGAGGCTTTCTACAAAAGCTATTAGGGATTTATTGTGATTTCGAAAGTTCATAGGGTCTATTTACTGCAAAAATGTTGAAAGTTCATGGAGCTTTTACTATAACTTATCTTATTTAATATTATAATTCTTAGTTCAAGTAATATTATTAAAATAATTATATTATCTATATATCATAAATATTTATCTAATTTAATTTTTTAAATTACACTCTTAAATAATTTAGTACTATAAAAATTTTATAAATTTTTATTATACTACCATTAACAATTAACAGTACTATTATTAATATTAAATAGTTTTTTGTATAAATGTTAGTTTTCAATCATTGCCAAGTATAGATTATTTAGTATCATGTAATAATCTTTGAGAAAAGACTCAAAAAAATTTAATTAATTAATTTAATAATATAATACTAAATAAATAGTGTAATTCATAATTTATATGATATTATTAAATAATAAATTATTTATGCAATTTTTATTGCTCATTGAATTATAGTATAATTCTTAATAGTATTTGGTAATATATTATTCTATTTATTCTATTATTTTAATTATTTTATTATGATTCATAAATAGTCATTATAATAATTTAATTGATACTACTGATAATTTTTATATACTTATTTGTATAATTAATAAAAGATTATATTATTCAATGAAAGATTAATTAGAGATAACGACATAGTCATAATTTATCAAAATTTGAGAGGGCAAAAAAGAAAATTAAAAGTTTTAGGAAAAATTGTGTCAAAGCCACAAAAGTAATAACTTCATGTGACCTGACCCCTCCAACTTTTTCCCTATGTGTTGCAGCCCCTGAAGTACAAATCTATGTGATTTAGCCCTTTTTCATGTAGTTTTTATGCTAACTAAGCAGAAAGAGAGAGAGACAAATATAAAAGCCCAAAATATCATCTTCCTCCTCTCTCTTCCTTCTCTCCATATCTAACTCTGGTCCTCCTTCCTCCTCTCTTCTCATCCTCTCTCCTAACCCATTTACTTCCTCCTCTCTATCTCTTCCTCCTTTTTCTCTCAGACGCCGACATCCCCCTCCGCCGCCGTTGACCTTGTGTGCACGCTCTAACCATATTGTTCACTCCTTTTCTCCCACTAAGTTTCTCCGATCTATCTTTCTTTCCCACCAAAACTAAAAAAAGCCTTAATTTTTCCTGATACTAAAGTCGAAGAATGTTAAATGTAAAAGGTTGCATGGTCTTCATCTTTTTTTTTATGTTAAGTCTAATTTAATTCTTTTTAAATCTAATTTAAATCAGGTTAAATCTAATTCAATTTATTTTAAATCTAAAAATAAGTTGAATTAGACTTAACATGAATCAAATTAGACTTACCATGAAATTAGACTTAACATAATTTGAATTAGACTTAACATGGTTCACGTTAAGTCTAATTTAACTTCTTTCTAGACTTAACATGAATTATGTTAAGTCTAATTCAACTTATTTTAAATCTAATTTCTAGTTAAGTCCAATTTGATTCATGTTAAGTCTAATTTGATTTATGTTAAGTCTAATTTGGTTCGTGTTAAGTCCAGTTTGGTTCGTGTTAAATATAATTTAATTTATTTTAAGTCCAATCTAAATTATGTTAAGTCTAATTTAACTTGTTTCAAGTCTAAAAACAATTTAAATTAGACTTAACTTGAACTATGTTAAGTCTAATTCAAATTATTTTAAGTCTAGTTTCATGTTAAGTCCAATTTAATTCATGTTAAGTCTAATTTAATTACTTTTAAGTCTAATTTTAATCATGTTAAATTCCTTTTAAGTCTAATTTAAATCATGTTAAGTGTAATTCAACTTGTTTTAAGTTTAAAAACAAGTTGAATTAGACTTAACATGAATCGAATTTGGCTTAACATGAATCAAATTGGACTTAACATGAAAATTAGACTTAAAATAATTTAAATTAGACTTAACATGGTTCATGTTCAGTCTAATTTAACTTGTTTTTAGTCTTAACATAAATCCTGTTAAGTCTAATGTTGGCCTCTTTGTTTTGATGATGTTTAACAAATAATTTACCACTAATGTTGTTTGTCTAGTGTTTGTGTTTTTGTATTTATACTAGGCAAACAACGAGTTGGAGGATGGATGGAATTAAGCCTACACGATCATATCAAGAGGAGGTTGGCGGAATTGTGGAGTGAAGCAACGTACAATTCAAGTTAAAGATCAAGTTCAAGCTTCATCCGCACGTGTACTAAGTTGAGCTTCAATGAAGATCAAGATCAAGCTTGGGTAATCTAGTTTAGATTTTATATTATGTGTGTTAGATACTCTAAGCTCAATTATCTATACACACACATTTTATTGGTTTCCTTGTATATATATGTAGTCACATATATATACAACACAAGTTTTAGTTTTCATGTTTATAAATATGAAATTACATGTTTCATATTGTGATTTGGTTTATCTACTTAGATATGAAACAAATATATTTTCATATACATACTCATAGGTTTCATTTTCTATTGTATTTGTGAAAATATTGTATTCTTAGTTTGTAGACTTTAATATCAGTTTATACATGTTTTACTAAGTCTATAAAAACATTTCACAAAGTTTCAAAAGTTGGTTTATGTCAAAACATCAAAATTCAAGTATCTCATATTTTCATGTTTTGGACTATTTTGTAAAATGATGATATTTTTCATTTGGGAAGTCCTTTTTGATAACCAGTCATTTTGTTTGGGGTTTTTGTTGAGATCTTGAGTGGGTATAAATACCCAATTGCTGATCTCTTTTTATGTAATGAAGAATGTTTTAAAAGAAGTTTTTAAACAAGGGTTTTAAAAAGAGTTTAAACTTGTTTAAGCTTGTTTAATATATTGTGCTTATTGTGAGGATTCACTTGTAATACACTTGTACACCGAGAGAAGTGTGTGGTGAGAGACGGGGTCGAATCCAAGAGGAGTGGCGTCGGTTGACGTGCCTAGGGAGAGGTTGTAACCGAGCACTTGAGGAGGAGGACACGGGCTAGGACCAACACTTAGTGTGTGAGGTGTGATTACATAGTGATTGTATTGTGAGGTGTAAACGTTGTTCGGGTGAACGTAGAAAACCCGGTTGTGATAGTGGAGATCTCCTCGAGGTGAGGAGCGGGGACGTAGGTCGTGGGGACCGAACCTCGTAAACATATCGTTTTGTTTGTGATTGCATTGGCGTTCTTATTCTTGTTTTCATATCTTATATCGCCTTTGTGTATTGCTCATCATATTACCCTATCACTTGTGTAGATTGTTTATTTTACCCTTGTGTTAGTTTATATATCCTTGCTCATATACTTGTAATA